ACATTTTAGCGGTGCTTAAAATCCCTACGATTTCTGAACAAGGCCCCAGGCATTTCTCACCTCAGCCGCCAAGCCAGTCGGGCGCGGGGGCCGACTAAAAACTGGCTGCGCGGATGGGTACCTGGCAGCGGTGGGATAGCTGCGTTTTGATGGGTTTTAATTGATTTTTAGTGGGAGATAGAACCAAAAAATAAGTTTCGGTGGTATCCCCAACAGCCGCAACATGTTATTTTACAAATCTTTCTGAAGCGTGCTGCGAAGCCAAGCGCTGGAAACACCTCAGGTGGGTTTCCGTGAGTTAAATCGCCAAAAATCTTGTTGAACCTGACCTGGCTCTGCACCAAGGCTTCCTGGAACCTTCTCCGGAACCTTCTTCGGAACCCTGTTGAACCTGACTTGGCTCTGCACCAAAGCCTCCCGGAACCTTCTCCGGAACCTTCTTCGGAACCCTGTTGAACCTGACTTGGTTCTGCACCAAAGCCTCCCGGAACCTTCTCCGGAACCTTCTTCGGAACCCTGTTGAACCTGACTTGGCTTTGCACCAAAGCCTCCCGGAACCTTCTCTGCAACCTTCTTCGGAACCCTGTTGAACCTGACTTGGCTCTGCACCAAAGCCTCCCGGAACCTTCTCCGGAACCTTCTTCGGAACCCTGTTGAACCTGACTTGGCTCTGCACCAAAGCCTCCCGGAACCTTCTCCGGAACCTTCTTCGGAGCCCTGTTGAACCTGACTTGGCTCTGCACCAAAGCCTCCCGGAACCTTCTCCGGAACCTTCTTCGGAACCCTGTTGAACCTGACTTGGCTCTGCACCAAAGCCTCCCGGAACCTTCTCCGGAACCTTCTTCGGAACCCTGTTGAACCTGACTTGGCTCTGCACCAAAGCCTCCCGGAACCTTCTCCGGAACCTTCTTTGGAACCCTATTCAACTTGACCTGGCTTTGCACCTGGCTCTCCACCAAAGCCTCCCCAGACCTTCTCCGGAACCTTTGGAACCTTCTCCGGAACCTCGTTGAACTTGACCCGGCCTCTGCACCACTGCACACCCGAGCTATTCTAGGCTGAAGACCCCAGTAGCCTACTGTTGGGGAATTAGAATAGCCTTATAAGTTATATAAGAGGGAAATGTATGTGCCTATGTTTAATGGGGATGTAATAACGGTAATTATACGGTACAATGTTTCAAATGGGTTTTAAGAGCTGCTGAATATTGTTTTGAGGTTGGTTGATGGACTTCATAGAGATTTAATGGGATGTATATCAGCCCAAAAAAGATAGAATTTGGCAAAGTCTCCAAGTCTCCAATCCGAAAATTCTGGTTTCTATTGAACCTGGTCCGCATGGAAAACCACTTACTCAGAAGAAAGTCGGAATGGGGTCAACATCCAATCTATGAATGGATGATCAAAAAAAAACTACAACGATATCCTTGAAGTTGATTGGAAAGTGCTGACACTACCATGATTGATTTTAACCCCTGTTACCGTTGGAGTTAGGAAAAGGTGGAGCAACTGAGCCAGCTTTTTCGGAAGTGCCTTGGAGGTACGGAGCGAGAGGCTCCTGCAGGATGTTGCACTAAACCCATTGGTCTCCAACTTTGCAAAGCACATCTAAGTTCTGTTTGGGTGTGGACTTGAATGGATCTCCATCGATAACTTGCCAACAAAAATGCATCACCTGAAACGTGGCATGCTCTGAATGCGGCAATGGATCCCATAGATCCCATAGATCCCATAGACCCCATGGCCTATTGCAGAAGGCCCTCCACTTTCGTACTGCGTCAAGAAATCCTGTAAGGTGTAGTCTTCATGGCGGTTTGGATCCTCCGGCACTCATCTTTTTGGGGTGAAGCTGGTTCCCCTGGTTCCATGGGGCCTTTGGAGCCATTCCCACTACAGAAAAAAATCACTTGCTGAAAATTCCAAGTGGAGCAGGTGAGACGGTGAGAGGTAAAAAGCGGTCCTTTTTACCCGAAAGATTGTTGTCACAGTAGTCCCACCATGCCTGCTGCTGGTCACAGGGGGCCACCAACAACTCTTGCGAGCGACAAGGAGGCTTAACCAACGAACAATAGTAGGCAATGACTCAATGACATATCTGAAGTTTTCCAAGAGGTCTACACATGTGTGTATATGTCCATTATATGTCGCAGCCCTGCTAGGCAAAGCAACCAAATATCCAGGAGCACATCACCAACAGCCACGGTAGCCACCAAGCCATGGAGAGATCAGAAGCATCTTGGCAAACCCTCATTTCTATAGCAACAAAAAGTGGAGCTATATGTATACTCCCCACATTTGAAATTTAGATCATAGTTCCAAAAAATATAAAAGTATTATGCTATACATATCATATATATATATATATACATATGTATATTCATCCCACTATTCTCCACTATTCACCTGTCAGCTTCCCTTTTCTCACCTGCTTCGCTTGCGGGTCCGAGCGCTGCAACGCTTTGATTCTCTCCACCAACTCCGCTTTGGCCATGGCGACGATTTTTCGGCGTCCTCCCCTGCCACTGAAGCCGAAGCACGGAGCCGGAGGCCAGGAAGAAACGAGGGGAACGAGTTGGACTTTGGGGCAGCAGCTGGGAGAAAAAAAGAATGGGAACTTGGGGAATGGACAGCTTGGAGGTTTCCTGAGTCATGGGGGGGGTATCCCTAAATCATCCATTTTAGATTTTCCATTGTACACCATCCGTTTTTGGGGTCCCCAATTCATGGAAACCCCATTTGGATTTTTGGAGGATTCGGTTCCTGTGAGACCATTGGGATGTGACTTATTGTATGCCACAGGACATGAACAGCTATGAAAGGGAAACGGCAAACACCTGAACTGGACTGTTGTCAGCCAGGAATCAAGCAGGCAAGTACATCTCTGCACCAGACGAGTAGGTCTTGCCAATTTGGCACTTTCAAATCACGCCTAGAAATGGCTGGACAACCTTGCTGCGAGGTGGAGACCCAAGCTTTAGACATACGGGTGGAGACTGGATCAAAACCCTGGTATATTTTGGGTCTCATGCCATAACTTGGCAGCTTTGAACATCAATCCCCCCATTCATGGGTACCCATATCATGGAAAATCATTTAGATATCGACCCATACCCATACATCGCAGTGGTTTGGGCCCACTGTTTTCGCACAGCTTCGGTGCCGATCAACTTTGATCAGTCCGTCTGATTGCATACCTCAGTGGCTCCCACCAAGCACAACTGCGGGAGACTGGCTCCGTTCCGTTTTCGCCAATCCCAAGACATTGATGTGGGCTTGTCCTAAAAAGAAGTATCCCAACATCAAGTGGTTGACCATCATTTTCGCTATCAAAACTATCATTTGCGGGTGTACTCTATTTTTGGATAAAGCCTCTTCCGAGGTTGCAGTGGCTAAAAAAGTACCCCCTGCATCTAGCTCTTAAGTGACCCGGAAGATCAAACCATCAATGGCATCATGGGTCACAAGATTTGAGTTGTATTGTCTTTCAAACAACACTGTTTTTTTGAATCCATGATGCCAAGATTGTTTTAATAAATCCATGATTCAAACAACACTTAGCATCAGAAACACAAACCCTTACGCACTTAGCATCAGTAAACCTTGGTTTACAAAGTCAGAGCAAGGACTGTTTGTTTGCTTTTTCTGTGAAATGGTATGAAATGTCTCCGGATGTTGTTTTCCTACCCAAGGTTCGGACCCATTTCAGCAGCGTTGGTGTGCGAAAGAGCCGGAAGCCCTTGGACGTGGGCAACAACGGGTAGATGTCCTGCGGCAGGGAAGCAGACCGCCTTATGTTATTTTTTCCATCATGGTAATGTCCTTTACAACCATATCTTAACAATGATATGTCCCCACAATCGTAAAACAAGGAAGTAAAACAGGTTTGATCCATACCGAACTGTCATATTCATGTATATACACATGTATAAATATATATATATATATATGTATATATAATATATATATATGGGTATGGGTCAATACCTATTAATACCATTTTTAGTGGGATGAACATCCATTTACCAGCTATTTTGATGTTCACCAGGGGTACAAGGTTTTGACCCATCCCCATATATATTATTCATTGTAATTAGATGAACCATGGCCAAAACATGGATTTGTTCATGTGTGGTCCATCCATGCCAAGCGATGCCAGGCGCGTCCTCGAAGAAGTAGTAGACATGACCCACTGCGATCCCCAGGAGGTGATCCTGGCGTGGCTGAACAATGATAGTAGGAATGATATATATATATATCATATACCCTCTGGTTTTTTAACATAGCCATGGAAAATGGCCCATTTATAGATGGTTTACCTATTAAACATGGTGATTTTCCATGGCTATGTTAAATAACCAGATGGTATATATGATAATACTAATAATACTAATAAAAAAATAAAAGTATATGAAAGTAATAATAGTTATTAGGTGGTAATAATCATCTAGAATAGGTTTGTTTTTATTGGTGTTGACGTCATCCCCAAATGGGCCCAAGATATATTTGGTTGGTGGCAAAATGACAGACCCTGACAGTTTTAGAAGTTTAGATGGAACTCCGAGCTTATCATTTCGGATAGGAAAATCCGCTTTCCATCGAATTTGTTTGGGTTTTGTGGTAGTTTTCTGGGGGATATACAATCATGGCCTGATGCCTTATCTTTCCAAACCCAAAAGGCATCTTTGGCACCAATTCCAGCCTCTTCAAGTGAATGCACTTGGCTAGTGCGTCGTTTTTGCCACTTCTTTTCTTTGAAATTCATGGGTTGTGATTCTGTAAACAGAGCAACTTCACTGTGCAAATTGCAAGAGCTTGGCCGTCCCGGCCGTCCTGCACTCCACCTCCCATCAATACTGACATGCCAGCGATCACCTGGCCAAGAGGGAAAAACTATGGACAAGTGCGGGAAATTTCCATCTCACAGCTGCCCGGGCACAAGGCAACTGCTGCCAGTTGATGTTCCAATAGTCAGCAAGCCAGGCACTGGGGTCCCGAGCCCAGGCTAAGTAAGGCGCGCGAACCGTGAAGAAGAACACCTAGCGGCCAGGCTCCCGGGAGGGCTCCCTGATGGTCAGATTCTTGGGACATGGAGAATCTGAGGGAACTTTCAAGGCTCCCAAAGAAAAGGACTGAATCTTTCTCACACGATCTCACACGACCAAGGATCCCAGTCTCCCACAGGGCATTTGGCAATGGTCCTGCCTGCATTCTGGCACTCGAATTCTTTCTACCCCAAACATAGGTCATGAGGTCGATCAAGGACGAACTTACAAAGTACCTCTGGATGTGAAGATGTGGACGGTGGTAGTGAGGGAGTGGCAAATGTGCAATGCACTTCCTTCATCCCACAGCGCATTTTATCGATTCCCCGTTGGGCTCACATGTTGAAGAAGGACGTGAGCAGGAGCAGCATGCCTTCCAGCACATTGGCAGTACACTCGATACCCTCAGTATCCCCTGCCCATGACCCAGTTGACCTATAGCCTGTAGCTTTGAAAGGGTTCTGATCATGGCAAGAGATGGGTATGGATCAAAATGGATGTGTTAATGATGTGTTAATGATGTGTTATAGTATAATCTGTTACCCTCTGGTAATTTAACATAACTATGGAAAATCACAATTTTTCCTGGGAAAATTCACTATAAATGGTGATTTTCCATAGTTATGTTAAATTACCAGAGGGTATAGTTGTGGGTCCATTCCTACCCGATAAAATGGATCCCCAAGCGGCGACCAGGTGACGGTTTTTGTGACGGAAACTCCGACTGAGCCAGGCCCGGCACCTGCACCGCACAAGAGCATCCAGAGGAAATCGGCCGTTTTTCGCTGGAACGAGATCCCTTCCAAGGAAGAACAGTAGTGTACCTTCCAAGATATGGCAAGTTGACAAGTGGTGAAGTGGGGCTCATATGGAGGATTAGTTCCAAGCAAATCATGTTGGGGATGGAATCATGTCAGTCAAATTCATCGGTAGGAGGCATCTGAACTGGTACATTTGAACCTTGGACACTGAAAAAGGTCCGCCCCCGCATCCCCGTGGCTCACCAGGACACAAAGATTCCAAACAAAGGGTAGTCCCAAAGGGCCAAAGAACAAGAAGCACGTCACTAGCCTGGAGGACCCTGACTGGCTTGGGCAGCTCCATCCACCGGTGAAGTCGTTGCGATAATTTTGATGTAGGCATAATGATGTGTGCCGGTGGTGATGTACGGTGCTGCTTGCACTTCTGCTTCGGGGGAAGACGTCAAGATATGTTTCTTGCTCTTTCCATCACAGAATCCAAGATGCACACTCAACAAGTGGCTGTGGAACCATGAACGCCACCATGATGGATGCTAAAATCTGTGGTACATTCCTGTGCCAAACACGGATAAAGACAGAAAGGCACAAGATCTATCCTTCATTCGGGAGTCCCGCATTCCTTCCCCCCACATGACAACCAGTGTTGGCATGGGCCAAAATTTGACACAAGTTTGGACCGAGTTGGGTATTGTAGCCCGTCCAGTCTTTTGGGCATGCATTCAATTTCAGCGCAAAACTTGAATGGCAATTCCATTGGGCAACAGATTTCAACCCCATAAGAATGCAATTAGTTTTAATGGTTTCACCACCAATTTCTTGGGGAATATGTATCCACTCTTGTTGATTCACATCTGTCCTTACAATCCCAAGTGGCCCCAAGTATCCCTCGAATTTCATAGCTGATTTACATCCTGTATTCATATATGATTTCATGAATCATATGTACAAACACACCTTTAAGTTTAAGTGTACAAATATCATACATGTACAGTATGTGCCGTTGTGCCCAATGTTGTTCAATCCTTCCCCTTACTTTGCCCTGGACAGCTGGACAGCCTCCAGATCTGCATCTCATAGATCACCAGCTGCCAACTGAGCAGCAGAGTGCTGGGCGCAAGCAGATCAAGGGCGCAGCCCTGGTCGTGGCCACGGTCAAACATGGCGGATTTGGAGCAATGGAACCATGAAAATACGGATTCTAAATGGAATATGGAATACATATTGGAACCAATTGTTCATTGATTACAACCAATATACGGATTAACGGATTATACTGGATTTGGAAGCAATAAAAATGGCTATAGATGGGGAGATAATGGAGATATATATTATATATATACCGAATTGAATGCAATCATATGGGTTTAAAGTGTCCACCTCATGGGAATCCAAATATAGCGGCAATATAAATCCAAGCGTGAAAATGGATGGCCATCACTCAATATAGGTATCCAACCCAACTTTCAACAGCGATGAGGATCCGAAGCATCCACGGTCCCTGCCAAGCACTGGTGGCGGGTGTCAAGGAGTACCCAACTTTCAACCACAAAACCCACAATTTCTGAAAGTATCTAAGATATAGCGTCTGTATATGGCTGAATTACACTAATTCACAAATCTGAAAAAAAAAAACTCATGTTCGAATAGTTACCCCAATCCTAACTGTCATTTCCGGTGATGTGGCGGTGGGGTCGTTACAATTTACACGGATACATGTGCGACAAATTTATGTGTCTACGTTAATAAATTGAGAGAGGCGGAGAAAGAGAGGGTTGTCATCGAATCCATGAATTTGGGGATACGTATCTATCCAGACAGACCCATTTCCCATCCATTTTGGGGTTGCTATAGGTGACCCATTCCCATTTCGCCAAATCACATCAATTTAAGAATTGCTAATATCTTCTCAATGGTCTCATGATTGAGCAATTCCACTATTTACCACAATTTACTCCAACTACACTCCGACACAAACCATGAGAAAAGCCACCTGGTTCATGGTTGAACTAGTTAGCATAGTTAGCACTTGTATCCTCAACTAATAACCCAATATATACCAACCATCATATCAACTATATATAACTAACTAGCTCACCATATTTATTACTGGTTTGGCTAATATAACCCCAATGTGTTCAATTTGGTAAATCATAGCCCCAATTATTGGATCAAAAGTTAATATGACTATCACCATCAGTACGTAAACTACAATGATTAGTTAGTTGGTTTAACATTAATTAATATAATATATATATACAATATATAATATATTGTGTAGAATATATTATATTACATCATATCAAATTATACTATATTATATCATATTATATTCTATTACAGTATATTGTAGTACATTAATTTAAGTTAAGTTATATTGAATTGAATTAAATTAACTTATATTATATTCTACTATATTATATCATATCATATTATATTATATTATATCATGCTCTACTACATCAAATCAAATTACAGTATATTTTATTGTTTATATCATATTGGATTATACTATATCATAGTAAAATATATTGAATTAAATTGAATTAACTTATATTATATTCTATTATTATATTGAATTGTATTGTATTACATTAATTGAAATCAAATTATATTGTATTAAATTAAATTATCTTATATCGAAATATATTATATTATTTTAGTTTAGTTTAGTTTCGTTTAAATTAATCAAATTATATTGAATTCAATCAAAATATATTTATTTATATTAAATTATACTATATCATATCATATTATATTATATTATATTACATTATCTTATCTAAGACTATATTATATCATGGTATATTAAATTATATCATATTATATTATATCATAGTATAGTATAGTATAGTGTAGTATAGTATAGTATATCATATTATATTCTATTCTATTATATCATATTATAATACATGATATTATATCATATTATATCATATTATATCATATTATATCATATTATATCATATTATATCATATTATATCATATTATATCATATTATATCATATTATATCATATTACATTATATATCATATTATATTATATCATATCATATTGTATGAAGTTAAATTGTACTATGTTATGTCATCTTTTCTTATATCAGATTATATTGGTTTATTTTATCTTTTCTTATATCATATTATATTCTATCAAATTAAACGATATTATATTATATTATATCAAATTATACTGTATCATATTGTATTGTTTCATTTTTATTTTTCTTATATCATATTACAATATATTATATTAAATTATATCATATTGTATTGTGCTATGGCTATTCTTTGATCACTTGGGTTTGTCAACTATGCCTTTTCCACAACATGGCCCCCCACCAAGGTGAGCAGCGCAGATGCAACCGCCAAGCATCGAGTGACCGGGGGTTGTTGCCTGGCAACATTGGTTTTTGCGGGAAGTTTACATGAAACTTCTGGATTTCATGATGGGTTTAGTAGGTTTTATTGGGTTTTACTGGGATTTGATTGGTTCTGAGTTGGTTTGATTGCATGTTTTAATGTCTTGTAATGGGTTTTGTGTCCGGAAATTTATACCTTTAACCAAGTCTAGCAGCCTTTGCTACTTTCAGTCATTTGGTGCCGACGGCACTTCTTTGACCTGTCCGCATCCTGTTCAACATGTTCAACTGTGCATGTGTACTCGCTGGGAACCCCGTTTAGCAACCCAAAAAAAATGCAGAAAGGTCGTCAACCTAAAAATGTTGAAGTCAAGTCGATATTCAATATCCTGGATAAGTGTTTCTATCTATTGGCCTCTATGATCAATCGCTGTTCCTTCACTGGAAAGCGTGCGATGTATGACCCCATGACAGCTGTCAAGCTCATGGCTTCTGCGGGGGCCGCTGGGCAACCAGCACAGCTATGTTTTTTTGTCGTGGCTGTGGGTGTTGGTTGACGTCGGGGAGTGGCAGATGTTAAAAAGACACTGGGCTCAGGAGTCGTGGACAGACCCGCTCCAATATCTTTCGGCGGGTTCGAAGTTCTTCGAAGACGGCAAAAGTTGAGGATATTGAGTATGAATGTCTGATACGATTCTTCTCAAGCATCATTAGCCAAAGACAGAAATTTGAGCAAAAAGAAAGGCAGCACGAACCGATCCTGTTTGGAATGAGAATTCCTCAAAAAAGGACTTCTAGGAATCAAGTAGTTCCATAGCAATGACCTCATGACCTGGGCGTCTTCATCCTGGAACGCATGAAGAGGGCCTTTTTTGACTGTACAACTGCACCACTTTGGAATGCGCTCAGCGATTGATCCGCCCGGTTGGGGCTCAATCAGGATCATTCAAAACCTCAGCGGAGCCATTTTGCACAACTAGACAGTGTCATCTCACATACAGGGTTTTCTGGTAATTACAATGTGGTGCCACATAGTTAGCTAAGTTGGTTTATAAGGAGGCTCAGTAGGGTTTATGATAGATATACCCTATATCAGTATTTGATAGATTCTGATAGATGTGAATGGTGGTTACAAGTTAAGTGTTAACTTATAACTAGCGGGCAGTCGGGTTCCCCGGCCATCTTCAGTATTCTTGGCGTCCGGAAAAGGCGAAAGCCCTGGGAGGTTGACATCAGCGGATACACGTCCTGAACGGGGAAAACATGCTCCGAAGCTTCACCAATAAAAACAGCGAGCTTGCAACGAGCTCCTCGAAGAAGAAGTAGGTATGACCCACCACAAGTCCAAGAAGGTGGTCCTGGAAAACTGGGAGCTTCCAGTTTGTGACCTCAAAGTGCTTTCCAAAAACATCTTGGATATTCTTGGATCATCTTGCAACCCAATAAAGATCAGCCCATCCCTGTCCTGGACGTTACCTCCCATCAGAAGGGATATCCATGAGAGAACCTTAGCGAGGCTAGCAATGTCCTGAAAACTTGGTTTGGGCCGGTCTGGTATACCAGCAGTATACCATTCATCATGTCATTGATGTTGAATGATATTGATGTCTCCCTATAGGTAAAACTTGGGGTTAGCCGCGGTCAGCCCCCCTACTAATCAACCAAGCAGTAGAAAAAGGGATATCCATGAACGAAGTTTCACCCGGCAGGACAAGGCACCCAGGGCAAATATGGCGCGCGAATGGTGAAAAATAGCACCTGGCACCATGTTTGTGATCTGTTTGATTGATTTCTCCTTAAAGTGATGTTCAAAAATCCCCCAGTGATCGCAAACAGCACATGCGATGTTAAATCAACTGGTAGTTTTAAGGATCACATTCGCATGACACCATCTGTAACAACTCGACCTGCATTCTTGCGGTTGGATTCCGCCGGCCCCAGAGATATGTCATGAGGTCAATCAGTGCTCCACTCACAAAGTACCTGGCACTGTGGCACTGCAGGCGTGGAGTCGAACTTTCTTCAACACTCCATAGCAAGATTTTTGTAATTTCATGAAAATTTTCCGTATTTGGTATTTGGTCATCACTGCACAAACGTAGTCTTTACATTTAGTTATTTAGTTGCTGAGTAGTCGCTTCCTTCACACTAGATTGGTTGTTTCCAAAACTCTCGTGAATCTGGATCTCTGTAGGAATCTCAAAATGACAACCAGCTATCCTGGAACTGGCTCATTGATGAGCATGTTGCAAGATGTGTCAAGGAGTTTTCAGGGATAGCGAATGCACTGAGTCGTAGCCATAAGGCACTCAGTGCATCTGCGTTTTTTCCGATCTGATGAGCGTCACGGCGCACTGGCTCCCAAACAAGTAGGTGAGCAACAAAATCATACCTCTCAACTGCAAAGGTGAGTTGCTGCATGTTGTTCTGACAAGAACATGAGCCATGTCAACAAAGTAACGCCTTGCACCGCGCCTGCGCCACAGACCAGCATCCACAGGTACTCGGCCGATTTTCTTTGAAAGGCCACTTCTTCCAGCGAGGAGCAATAGTGTACCTCACAGGGAAGGTCTGCTCCAAAACATCAACTTCCTCTGCAACATTCTGCAACTTTGAGTCACAGATATGCGGAACATCCGAAGATCTCCCCCACTTTTCCATCGCGCACCAAGACCCAGGTGTTCCAGCAGTAGGGCAAGCTGAAGGTGCCCAGGTAAAAGAAGCAGGTCACCAGCCTTTGGGAAAAAAAATGAAGCTGCCATGCCATGGGTTGAATCTCATTGAATCCTCACCAGCCTCCAGAGCTGGAGCTCATAGATGATGAGCTGCCAATTGAGGTACAGAGTGAAAGGTGACACGATCTCCAAGGTGCACAACTGGCGGAAAGGTTGATGAATGCTGGTGGATGTGGGGAAATGGCCACCGGCATCGTTCATGGTGATGGAACCAATCTGGGCAAGGAACCAGAGATGGATCATAGAATCCATGTATATCTTGCGTGGTTTATGAACAGCATAAAGATGCAAGAAATATCATTAATTAACAGTAATTAACAATGAGTGCAATCATGGTCGTTCTGCTTTTTTCACTCCTCCAAAGTATGATTACCATGTGCCCCAGTTGCAAGACTATCGACCATTCTCCCGTCGACATCCCAAAGGGCGCACCACCATCAGAGAAGCGGAAGCAAAGAGTAAGCCACGCGTCACGGGGGGCTGATGCCTGGTAAGACTCCCGTGGTGCGTTCATTCTTCAAAGGGTGTGCAATTTTTTTTCAGAACAGGGGAGATCTTGACTCCATCCTCCAAAAAAAATGCGTTGCTTTGTCACGCCATCTACAAAATCAGAACTGGCAACGGACGTCCAAAAAATGCAGACATTCCACCCGATGATCGCGACGATGCCGGCTGGAACTAGATGTGGATTTCCGCGGTTCATGGCGCCACTTTTGCGGTGGTGGTAGCGTATGAATTGAAATCCTAGGAGGACCCATGAGGGCCCAGAAGCCTAAAATGCTTTGGCTAACCGAAAGGCCCAGCCCTGTAATACTTCGGTTCAAAAGGACGGCTAGGTCTTGGGAAACCTTTCAAAAATCAAGAAGCCGTTCAAAATGTCACTTCAAATATTCATGAACGAAATGCAAATGGTCACAAACGAGATGCTACCCATCTTCAGATCCAACAAATTCGGTGACAGTATATATCCATGATTTTGGTATGTTTCTGCCATTTCTGTGAACATAAAGCTCTTCAAAGCATCCAAATGTTCTGCCATAGTTGGTTTGAATTGTTGCTTCAGAGCTGAATGCGAGCCAGAATTTGCAGCAATGTTTGCTGAAAAATGAAAGATCCATCTAAGATCACCGCCTTCTTGGACGTTTCAGCACATTGATCGATGCTTATTGGCAGAAACAGCACAGGTTGACTCCTCAAACGGAACTATCGCCTGTTAAGACTGGAGTTGCCACATGTTGCCACAAAAAAATACTCCGTTTCATGCCACCTATACTTTCATTCTTCTAGTAAAGCACATGCAGGCCCTGCAAACTTTTGAACAGCACAATCTTCATCGGCCGCGGGCAATCTTGCCTTGAAAACCATTGAAAACCCACCATCCAACGAGGTGTTCAAAGCTTGGATGCTGACGGCTGCGCAAAGCCTTGGGAGGACAGCCACTGCGCACAGCAGCGGAGGGCCTCCGGGCTCTCAGGCAACAAGTTGTGACCAGCCCTGGCGGAGTCGGCTCCAAAATCCCATGGCTTGGCCAAGAATTGGGGTGAATCCTCCAGTTCCAGACCCGGTTGAAGTTCTCAATGGATTGGTTTAAGAGAAAATCTACAGGAAACCCAGGTTCTTACCCCCAAATATAGAGGTTTCTTGAAGAATTTCCCTTCAACCAATTCTTGAAAGTTGGGCAATGACATGTTGAAAGACTTCTTGCTCCGCCTTGCTAACCTCTGGGTTTATGGAAGTGGCATGGGTTCATCCGAATGGTACACGGCCAACACACTCACCCTCCCATCGGAATTGCATGGTGGATTTCTAGCTTGGGCTCTCCCAATAGCACTACGATTCGGAAGTTTAGAGCAATCAAGCATTGCCCATATTCCCGTATTGGCTTGCTCGTATTCAAGCGGGTCATGTTGCTACTCTCATCTATTCGCATGTGCTAATTTTGACTTTACCCACACATTCTCTAATATGTTCTGGGTACATACTTCAATCTGTCCTATTTCGCGCAAGGGTCCATTGGTACTCCGATGGATTGACCTGGAACTTCCAGTAATTTCATACCCCCGATCGATAGAAATACCCCCAAAACGAAACCTTGGTTTACTAAAATCTATATTATATATATATATATATACAGTTTCATATTATACATGTTTATTGGATGTGTATTGCGGGCCCATATGGGTGTATTTCATTTTGGGGTGGTGGGATTATCGCAGTATACCCAAATTATATTCCCATGAAATTCCCTTTTGCCTCATAAATAAACCACTACTGCCACAATTTTTAACCCATATCATCACATTTCCAGTATTGTGGTAAACCCAATGCCATGAATTTTAAATCATCCCCAATATGACTCAATAAATAGGCAGTATAAACCACCCAAATGGTAGTTTGCTTTTGGCCTTGGGTTTATCACATGGAAAACAAATCACCAACCCCGACCAACCCCCAAGACTTGGGGGTGTTCTATTGGTTCAGTGGGTTTTTGCCATTTCCAGTCGGGTTTTTCCCCATCTTCCAAGCCATTTCGGCACCTGAAGACCTGCAGTTGGCCCTTCGGTAGCTGATCCCGCAAAATTTCTCCCGCTCGCACTGGGGTCTGCTGATCTGCATCGCCCTGCAGGATCAACGCTGGCAACGTACCTGGGACGGCCAGGATGGGGACGGGGTGAGATCATATCCCAACTTCTTGGGGTGAATTCATTCTGGTTATAGTCACCAATAACCCTACCCATCCCTTCTCCGGCTGAATTCAGGCAATTCACCAAGCTCAAACTCAGGTGATTTTGAGGTAGTTTTCCCTCCATTAGTTGCCATCTACTGTACCAATTGCTGAGCTCCCTACCCAGCTTGGGCATCTCCTTCTCAATCTGCGACTCAGCCACCATCTCCTGAATCTTCGCCCAGGCCTCCTGGCCCTGCTTCCGGGCAACCTGGGCACTACGGCGCCAGCCCTCGCGCGCGCGCGAGCTCACGCGGCTGCTGGTGCTCATCAGCACCAAGCCCAGCAGCTCTGGCAGATCCAGGGCGGCGGACAAGGCCTGGCATTTTTCGGAAAGGCTGAAGATGCTGGAGATTAGTTGATCTGATTCGTCATGATGTGCATGCCATTGTTGCCATTGGTCAAGTCTCGTGAGATGTTGAAGCACCGGCACCAGGGATTGGTTTGGGCTAAGAGGGTCAAGCCAACAGTCCGTATACAAAAATCATGGTTGTACGCATATGTTGGAAAATAGATAGATGTCATTAGATGTCCATCACCCATCATTGACATCCTCACATGATACCATGGCATGTTGCTCTGCTGACTCTGCTGAATTTTCTTACGCCAGGGAACAATCATGCCACCCAGAGAGTGGCCCAACAGCACGACACGCTGCAGCTGCAAATGCTGCACGAGGTCAATGATATCATGACCTAAAAAATTCCAAGCCACGGCAAGATATTTCCCAAGTCTGCCATCACTTGGAGATTGGCCAAACTGACAGCTTGCTCAGCTTTGGTTGGATTTGGTGTTTCGGATCAAATCAATTTCCCAAGGGTCACAATGGCCATAAATTAATGTTCCCATAAGCACCCAGTGGATTGCCATTTCCATATGAGGCCAGGGGTGGGCAGGTCATCTTCAGTAAACGTAAACCGCGCATAGCCATGGCAATTTCCACGTAGTTTGACCTAGATCCTCTGGTAATCAAACATGGCAATCGAAACTCCCCCATTCTGTGGGAAAAACTCATTTGTGGGTGTTGTTCCTTTGCCAGACTAAATCATCCAGAGGGTAAACCCATATTGCTATGGGTAAAAATGAAAGGCCCAAAAAATGCTGGTAATTCTAGAAAGTCCAATTTTGCGGGTCCATCGGGACCCCATGTGACAAACCGATCCCCATGTTTGCTCACAGACAAAACATAAGCCATGCAATAAACCCATCTGCAATCCCAACAAAAACTGGTTGCTTTCAATGGGAATCACCCATGGAATCACCCATTGAAACCTGGTCGGTTTTCACCCCCTTGTGAGTGCCATCTGGCAAACCCCTCGATTTGCCTTGCCAAAACCCGAGAAAACCCTCCAATTTCAAATGTCAAAGACATCTTATTAAGATTCCCTCCAATATCAAGTTGTATGGGGGTGGGAATTTTGATTCCATTCCATGTTATGTGTATGTATGTATATATATATATCATATATCCTGTTGATATCCCCTTGATCATGTTGAAATCATGATCATGTATGCTGTTTTAATTCACACCAGAAAAGAGTTGTGGGCGAACCAGAATATTCTCACTATGCCCAAATCATACCACCCATTGTTGTTGGTTGAATCCCTATTTCTTCATACTTAAACCACCATGATTGGATAAAAACATCCCATTAAATTATATTAAATCCCCATGAAAAACCATTCACTTCCGATTAAATCCTATGGATCCCCATGAATCGACCGCTGTCTCGTGTTCCAATTCACCCAGGCACCAAACTGCTCCAGCTCTAGACCTTCAACTCGTGGCTCACTGCCACCGTGCCCCGGCACATCGATGCGCACATTTCTGAAGTCTGAGAAGTTCTGCCAAATGCCTTCCCAATAGTCCAAGCTCATGGACAGACCATGTATCCTGGCAGCGGTTGCTGCTGGAATTGGAAGCGTGAAGAAAATCCATCTCTACATAGCCTCTGGTAATCTAACATAGCTATGGAGAACCATCGTCTTCAATAGGTATTCAAATCATCTCACATGGGTCATTTTCCATAGCTATGTTAGATTCCCAAAGGGCAAGCTTTCAATATTAGGTCTTTGTTGTTAGATGTTGTTAGGTCTTTGTTGAACAGATCTGTATATCCCAGCTGCCATACTGAGGATCTATCGCTGCACTCCCATCCATTTTTCTCGGGTCCAGATCAGGGTCGTGCCAGCAGGTGTCCCACAATCAGCGTAATTCAAGACTTGACCTTGGTCCAGCTCACAATTGTCTATGGGATACAGGATATCGGTGTGTTGAAAATAGCGCAAGAAAATCCAGTGGCTGATCAGTCTTTTACAACTGGGCATTGAATTGCCATTAAAATATCATTGTCATTCTCTTTCCAAAGGGTCTTGAATCATGAATTGCCATGTTGGGGCCCCCATTTTTCGACACAAACCCATGGAGTTTCCTAACAGGCCCTGCAAAGCCTGGGCTCTTCATAGTGGACCTGGCTCCTTGATCTTCACCATTCACCACTTAAGTCACTTAAACACGCCAGAATTTCAGCCAAGATACCATGCCTGCTTTTGAAGTGTTTTCGCATCGCCATGAACTGTCCCAGGCTGGGGTTCATCCACACAAAAGGTCTGCTTGGTTTGAGATGGTTTTAGGGGTCAAACAAGACCAAACTCTGCAAAAGAGCATAAAGTTTGAGGCCATACAATACACTCAATACACACTATGCAGTCTCAGCAATCTGCTGCTCTCAGTTTCGCGGTGTTCTCCATCCAGATCTTGCAAAGCTTCCACCTTTGACTTCAAGCCCAAGCGGCTGACATCGCACCAAGTCTGTGACCTTAACCAATCCTTGGGTTTCCTCGGAAATAGACTCACCTTTGAGGTCTCGTGTCACCAATTTGGGGTTGTCCCCATTCGCAGGTTGGCTTCAGGAAATATCTGAGTTACTAGACTTCACTCATCTGCGAGGATAGTCATCAAACTGCATGGTCAAACTGTCCTTATATCGTCAGAAAGTCAGTATACAGTAGGAAATTGATAGGATTCAACTGTTGAATTCTCTCAAGAAATTCCGCGTGCACACGCAGCCCGGATTTTCCGCCACTTTCTCATGTGCGGCGGCTGACTTGTCGAGGATCCACCGCAACAGCTCCGTCCTAGCGCTGGGGAAATGGGATACCCCAGGAATTTGGTCATTGTCAAACTAACGAAGCATCCAAATTTGAGAGGTAGGTTTCACTTTGAACCAATTTTGAGTGTTTTCCAATTGTTCATTGATCCATTCTGCTGTTCAGCATGGTTTCCAAAGTGCTCGGTTCTCCAAGCTCCTCTTCCGCTGCTCTCTTCTTTTCCTGGCGCTGTGAGCGGAGGAGATATGACCCTTTTTTAGGGTGCCACTGGACTCACCTATTTGGTCAGCTGATTTGGAGGACAGATTGAGACCCCCTACTTGCATCAGAACAGGAACAGATTGGACTGTCTCCTTCTTCTTCTCTTTCTTTTCAGCCTTCTGTTCCTGGCAGACTCACTAAACAGCGACTCAGATTTCACCCTCTGCAAGGCCAGAGTTGCAGGATGGACTGATCAGCCATTAAAGTTCCCCAAAAACCACTGCTGCCTTCTCTTTCTTGTCCTTATTCTTCTCCTCCTTCTTTTCCTTCTTCTCCTTCTTGTCCTTGCTATGGATCACCTTCTGTGCCCACTCCTTGGCTACAAGCAGGAAAGCCCAAGAACAAACGCTTTGCTCTTCGTGGGGTATAGTTGGTGTAGTTAGTTTTGAAGATCCTCATGAATGATACCATTGGGTCAGCGGGATAATTGCAGTACTTGTCATTGGGTTTACCATGGTTTACTCCACATTCCTAAAGTTCGCCAAGGGACCGTGTTGATGGAGTTCGGCAAATTCTGCTCCACGAAGGTCGCCATAAATTCCTTGCCGGCACTCAGGACAGCTTCAGGCGAGACCCGGCGTAGAACGCAGTACTCCTGGCCCCAACGCAGAACGCAGATGCAGATGGTGCGGGAAGGCACACCCAATGGACCAACTCAGATGGCCTTCATAAAAAAAAACACGTCTGATTTATTCTGATTTTCCCCAAAGGATGGGGACTCCATGGCAGTTCTCTGGAAACTCCATGGCTGTCCGTTCGCCTGGTAAGCTGCTGACCACTGCTTGTCGTACTTCAAGCCCTTCAGCAAGAGCTTCCGGAGCTTCTCCTCATCCTGGCCGTAGATGTCTCAAGACTGGATGAAACGTCGCAGACGACAGAAGAATGAAGGGGTCCCATATCCATATTGCCACTCATATTCATGTGGATATATAAAAGAATCACCATATCCATATTCATGTGGATATCCAGAATGAATATGGTTCAAAGTCCAAAAAAATAGGAATCACGGATATTTGAACCTGAATATATACTATGACATACTATGACTATATGAATACCATTTTAGGCCCACTATGGGCCCAATACCTCTGAGTCAAACCCATCAGATGGACCTCGAAGTCGATCTGCCGCCTCAGCACCTGTTTTGCCACATCGGCCGCACGCGTGGCCGCCTGGGGGATCTGGGAAGTCTGCCTCGAAAAGGACCCAGACAACCACAAAATCCCTTCTCAATCAGCCATAAACAAACTCCCAAAAATTTTCAACGGAGCAAAACTGTGCTTGAATAGAAACACTATGTCACTATGTCAACTTAATCATAAATCCCCTTTTTGAATCACCTATAAATCACCCAAGCTCGGTCCCTTGGATCATGGCCTCCACGCGTTTGGAGATCAGGGCCTTGGGATCCGGCGCCGGCAGCGGCGTCACCACCGGTGGCACCGGGCGGCCCAGGCCAAAGGGCAAGGTGCCCACGGAGCTGCCTGGGACTCCGACATGTTAAGAAGATTTTGAACATGATGATGATGATTTTGAAGATTTTGAACATGACACATTTTGTTAATTGTTGATGATGATGTGAATGTGTGGCTTTTCAGGGTCTGATTTTGTTTCTCGTACCAATTTCTGTGACCAATCATCGCAATGTTTAGACTTATGAAGAAAGGACTTCGAAAAAAGGAACCTCTTGGGACCTTCCAGCAGCCCACCTGCAGTCTTCGCTCCCATGGCTGAAGTTTGTTGGGAGATCTGCGCAATCCGCGCCACCTGTGGCAGCTGGATAAATTCACAAAGGGAAATGGCTCCAAATGATCGGATTCTCCCTGAAAAAAATGGTAGAAGGGGGAAGCTAGGACAAGACAGGTTGTAGGTCAGGTGGGAGGCTGTTATGTTTTTGTTCAATATTGTAAATCTAAATGTTTGACTGTTTCTTTTTGATTATCTTGCTAAATGTTTGTTGAGGTTGATGTAATAATAATGTTTGGTTTGGATGAGGGTAGGTTTTGTTGAGGGTGTTTTGGCTGTTATGGTTTTTATGTTGTTGTTCAATGTGTGTTCCTTGGTTTTGATGATTTACTGGGACATTGTTAGGGGTGGTTTAGGGTCTTAACTTTCACTGTTGATGTTTGGATTGAATGGGGGTAGGATTTGTTTAGGCTGTTGGGGTTTTATGTTTGGATTGAGATTTCATATGCCTAACATTCCAGTTTCATCATCTCCATTTCTCACAACTTTCGGTTTTTCCTTTCCCTTCAGTTTGGTTTGATGCTTGATGCTTTCTTCGTGCCTTTTGACCTGATATTTGTTTATGATACTTCCGCACACGGGACATTCAGTCTTCAATTCATTAGTGTCTTTCTTTTCCTCTGTTGTTTGTTCCTTTCTTCTTTGATGATACTGTATGGCATACTGTCTTAATTTGTCCCTGTTTTTCTCTCTGTATCGTTGCTTTGCTTCTAAACAGTTTTTACACTGCTTACATTCATCTCTGTAATAGTTTAACGGTTGAAAGACTTTACATTTAGAACACTGCTTTTTGTCAGTCATTATACCTCTACAAGTTTAAGGGGTTATGTCTTTAAGGGGGTTTTAGGGTGGATTATTTCATAATATATTTTGTTAAGATATTATGAATTAATCTTTTATGCTTTCCATTCACCTATTCCATCCCACCAGTGTTCAATTACTCTCATTTGTGATAAGCAGGGATTGTTTGTATCGTTTAGTTCATCCATCGCTATTGATAAAAGGGTCATATTAACACTCATACAAAAACACCCACCTCTTCTATTCAATTCTTTTCCGCATTGTATGATTATATCTTTATTGGTGAGGTTTTCATACATTCGTTTGATGATGTCAAGTTGTTTGTGTATAAATATTTTAGACCGTTCAACATTACTTTCACTAACAACTCTATCAAGCACAGATTTCCAAAATCAAAGTCTTCACGTGGTGGTAAGGGATGACATTTTACAAAGTCTCTAATCTCTTCATCTTCTTTTTCTATTGCTTTTCTTTCCCAGTCATCGTCCTCGCTTTCACTACCGAAGTCAGCATATATACCGATATTATCTCTATCTATAACCTGAATTTTTGCTTTATTCATTTTCTCTTACTACAGATAGTTATTTTTTCTTTAAGTATTTACCACTTTTTGTAGGTGCTCTTTTATTTCTTCTATGTTCAAATATTTCTCATAACCGTTGAACAGTTCTTCGGTGTATTCACACAAAAATATTTACAAAATGTCATTTACCTGAAACTCCCTATTTCTGAATGTATAAGTCCAATCGTTTTGAGGAAACCACCACTCACGCTTGTTTTTACAATACTTCATATATGTAAGGTCGTGAAAGTTTTTAAGGAAGTGATAGGTAGTTTTCCACTCCCTTTTCACAAAAGACTTAATCGCCATTAAGAACAGTTTGTCGTGTTTGAATTCTTGCTTGAGTTTGAATGTATCCATTAAAACATCAATTTCTCTTTTCATTTGCCGAGTGTTTGTTCGGTTCGTGTTGGATAATTAAATAGGTGATTTCTCCATCCTTGTTTTAAAGAAATAGATTGTCTTTTCTACTCTCGTCAGTTTTTTATCATTAAAATAGTCAAAATGATAATTGAAATCTATGTATCTACGCTCTCTATCGTTTAAGTCTTTACATTTTGAACAGTGAAGGTTGTAATCACATATCTCATCACAAATTCCAGCGGGAAAAATGTTGTTTAGTAAAACCTTTAGGTTAGTCATTTCTTTTTTACAACATCCACAGTTTTTATAAGTAAATAGCATCCTCTTACTATATTTAGATAATTTATCTTTAAGTAGTTTTTGGGGGCTCGTTCAGTTTTCGGGTTCGGGTTGGTTTTTATTTTCCCTTTCCTCCTCTTCCAGTTCCTTTATAACCATATCTATTTCACTCATTCCTTCGTTGGGGTCTTGTCCATTGCGGAGGTGTCTTAACCTCTCAAAATCCTTCACTTTGTGTCTTTCATTGGGTGGGAGGGTTTTGAGATGTTCCTTCAACTCTGTCAGGTCAAAGTATGTGTCGTGTTCTTCATCCTCATTTTCCAAAAACATTTCCATTCGTTGCTTTTCCATTTCCAAAAGTGTGTTTTCCATTTGTCGGAATTTTATTTGTTTCTTGCCACACTTTCCACAAACATTCACGAAGGTTTTTAACAAATAATTCCAACTAGGTTTTTTGTAATCACCATTGTTTAAGGTGATACATTCGCTCATAATACGACATCCACAGTCAAATTTAGTCATCTTACTTATTCTTACTATATATAGGTATTTTTTCTTTAAGTATATTTTTTATTGCTGATAATTTTAAAAATCTAATATTATAATATATGGCAAGGAGACTATCAAGAGATGACATCATAAGCAATGTCTATTACAATCTTGAAACGGGCTTCGGCTCAATCAATGAGACCCTCAAGAAAGCCAAGGAACAAGACCAGTCCATCAACAGGGTGGATGTAGAAAACTTTATGAGGAAACAGCCCAACAAACAGATTAGAAAATACAGGGGTTCAAACTCCTACACCGCACCCTTCGCAAGGTTTGAATTCCAGATTGACATAATGGATATGAAACCCCTTACCAAAGAACCAGAGACGAAAATTCCAATCAAGAATGATGAACCAAGATATGCGATGGTTGTTATTGACATCTTCAGCAAGTTGGCTAATGTTGTCCCTATGAAAGAAAAGTCAGGAACAAATGCCCTGTCGGCACTGAGAGAGAGTTTCAACAAAATGGGTTTTCCGATGTCCGTTTATAGTGATAATGACCGTGCCTTCCAAGCAGGGGTAAAAGACTTTTTTGAGAAAGAAGGCATCACTCACGTCGTCACCCTAACTCACGCTAATGTTGTGGAGCGTTTCATAAGGACAATGAAAAATATGATACACGACAGGGTCAGGTTTAATCGTGGTAGTTGGACTGTTATGTTGTCCAAAGCATTGGATAAATACAATAACACCGTCCATTCATCCACGAAAATGAAACCCAAGGATGCCCACGACGACAAGAAACATATGGACGTCAGGGTGAATTTGACAAGGAGGGAAAAGAACACTCGCAAATATCCAGAGGTGAAAGTGAATGATATGGTCAAGGTCTTTGAGAAGAAAAGAAACAACTACACCGAGAGGAAGGAGTACAACTCAAAATGGAGCAATCAATCCTACAAAATCGTCAAGATAGAATACGATGATGTTGGAAACAGAACCTTCAAACTGGAAGGATTGAACAAACCGTATTTGAGACACGAGATTTTGAAAGTATAAAAAATTATCTATAATATTAATATATGACAGAGGTAGTCGTAAAAGAGATTGATAATGAAGAACCAAAGGAAGAAACAATACCAGAGCCAATACAGGAAGAAGCACCGAAGGAAGAGGAGAAACCAGAAGAAATAATTGAACCATCCGTTGAAGAGAAACCACAACCAGCGCCAAAGCCCAAAAGGGTAAGACCGTCAAGGGCAAAACCACCTTTTGACCCAGAGGCATTCAAAAGCGACCTTGTAAAACAAATAAAGGAAGAACTACAAAGTGCGATGTCCGCCAGAGACACCTACAACAAAGCCAAAGAGGAAAAGAACAAAGCGACGAGAGAGAAATTGAAATCTTTAGCATCAAAAGTTTTATAAAGTATTATATATATAAATGAACTGTCAGATTACAAGATTGAACAAAAACATAACAGCCTCCCACCTGACCTACAACCTGTCTTGTCCTAGCTTCCCCCTTCTACCATTTTTTTTCCCTGGCTTTTTGCAGGAAAACTGCAGAAGAGGATAGTGATTTTGTTACTTCCAACATCAATTGCAATCATTGGCTTCCCGCTTTTCTTCGGGTGGAAAGATTTCATGAAATTCTCTCAAATGGCCCTTTTGAAGCTACTGTTTCTGTCTTGTGGATGCGATACCTGAGCACGATCTATGGCAAATAAGGCCCCCATGGCAGGACAGAGCCCAAATCTGAGCTTGTTCACTGACGAGGTATCCACTGGCGGAGCGTTGCTTGCAGGGGCTCCTGAGCGATTCCCTAACCTTTCGAAGTGAGGGTGCATGTTTGCTGTGTCAAGCCTTTAAGGCCCCTTTGGACCTCAACACTTTGAACCCAACATTCCATGTTTCAAAACCTACAGTAACTTTGTCGACCAAAGATCGCCGTTTTTGGAGGGTACTATCCATCTTATCAACAGTTTTGAAGCCCACATGAATGGTAAACATTGCTAGTAACCACGGTATATAGATTTACAGTACATGTCTACATACCACACCACAGAGACATAAATCCCATCTGATTCCAGGTGTCCTGTTCGTTCTTCCTCAGGTGCCATTAGACCCTCCTCAATCAGCAGCGTCTTCACCGGTTTGTGCTGGACTGAGTCTCCAATTCCTCGGCGTGACTCGAAACCCCTGGAGGATTGGATTTCAATTCATGATTTCTTCCGAAGTTCCAAGTCCAAGCTTGGGCTCGGCAAGTTGTGTATTTCTCATCTTACGTATCGAACCTGCTTCGTTTCGAGTGCAGGCGTTCCGTCAAGCAACGATAGGCATAGAGGTTGCCACTGATGGTGTGAAGTGTGACCTCCTTGCCACTCACTCGGTACACACCTCAGCCAGCTTGGTCAGCATAGCTTCGACCACTGAAGATCAACCAACGGTGAGCCCAATATGCTTACCCATCATACCTGCGATGAATGCAACATTATACAAATATACAATGTATATGTATATACTGTATATACTGTATATGTAATTATAGATATAAAACCCTGATAGCATAGTTTAACACGACATGTGGAGGTCTGCTGTACCAAAAGCAAGGACACCTTTCCGCAGTCGTCAAGTCGCCATGGCCGATCTTCTGCACCATGGAGCGCATGTCAGGGCTCAAGGGGGTTAGGGCTTCCTTCATCAAGAGATCAATCAGATTGTCCACATCCCCTGAGCTGCGAGCTGCATGAGCCGCATGTGCTGCAGAAGATGTCTCGAATTTGGGAATCAGGACATACTTGGAATATCATTTTCTGCATATACCAGTGAAATGACTGAAATGGTTCACGAAAGCTGGGTATGGGTGAAAAATGACAAAAATTTTGGATAGACCATGATAGACCCAAAAAGTTGATGTCCGGTCAATGATGAAAATGAGCGTCTCAACCGATGGATCCAGAAGCCAAAAGGAGATGTGTCACCGTGTCACCTATGATCCTCTAGGGCTACGAACATCCACAACAACCAGTTCTTTTCGGTGTTGGAAATATACAAGAATGATACCACAGGAATGGGTTTTTGGGCCGATGAAAATCCACGACAACCAGCTGTTTGGGGATTTGGGGGTGTTCTTAGTTGAAAAAAAAGGAATGAACATAACAATGTCACAATTCAAAATCACATGCGACATGTTTCTTGGGATGAGGGACCGGGCTACCAGGCTACCTACCCAGCCTTCAGGTGACTCCGCGCTTGGAAGATCACCTGCAGCGCAGGGGATCCAGTTTCCAACTCATGCATCATGCAATGGGTTGGAAAACCATGGTTCAATGAGTTCAATGAGTTCAATGAGTTCAATGGGTCACTGTGTACATGTTCTTTCTCATCCCAACAATAGTGGTGCCCAAAAAGACAATGAATTACAGGATTTGAGAAGGAAATATGTTTTTTAGGCCTTTCAAAGTTTCAGAAACACTAGATCCAAGATCCATCCATTGTTGTCATATTGTTGTACCTACCATATCCCAATGATGGGTGAAATCCCCCAAATCCAGTCCCAATGTGCTTCTTTAGTCCCAATGTTTTACTGCTTGAATCGGTTGAATCAACCCCCACTATTTTGCTAGTTCCAATTCTGTACTGGTTATCAACTGGATGTGGGTCAATACCTATAGATACATTTTTAGTGGGATGAACATCCATTTACCAGCTATTTTGGGGTTCACTAGGTACCAGGGTTTTGACCCATCCCCAACTATCTTCATCTCAGATATCCTGGCTGGTTCGATCTCCCCTTTCTTTCGGAATCACCGTCCATTGCACGTGGCCCCTCCGAAACGGCACCTTTCGGTGAGGCGGCCCCAGGCGGCGGCGGCGGCAAGGGCGGCAAGCCGCCCGACCTCACATTTCCATCCAAGGGATCGCCAGGTCGAAGGGATCGAAACACATCTGGAAGCCCATTCAATCTCCTGGTTTTGAGAATAAGTTTCTATATCCTCAAAACATTCATATAAAAGTGGCTACTAATGGATCGTTGACTACATCTAACTACTGGGTCAACTACTGACAATACGGGTTACGTGTGGCTTCCTTGTACCCCAATTTTTCTTTAGGAATGATGTTCGATTCACAATGTCACCATCCCCAATGACTAACCAGAGTAGGGGGATATTTACCTCATAAATATTCAATATGAGGGGAAGTTTGTATCCCATGCCATTGAATTCCCACCTCATCCATAAACCACTGTTGAATCACTATTGTTGGACATTCCACATTTAAGTGGCTGTTCTATTAGGTATACATGCTCCTATCCAATAATGAATCCTACAGAATGTGGATTCTACCCCTACTACTCCACGAGCGGGCCGTTCCATTGATGCCTTGGTAGAGTTTGTTGAATGTTGATAATCCATCAAGTCCATAAAAGAGTAGTGGGATTCCGATGTTTTTTTTTTTCCTTCACGGCGCAGAGAAGCTCACGCTGCGGCCAGGATGCGGGATGAATTCACAAAGCATCTAAACATGCAAATCACCAAATGTCACCCAGCGAAGTCCTTTCCAAAGTGGATAGTGGATTCCGATGTATATATATACATATATATATACGTACCCTCATTACATCACTTATATTGTATACATATTGTATTCCTGGGTAGTGTCTTATTTTCTCTGTCAGAGCAGTCTTAAAACAACCTGTCGATTTAGTGAGAACTTGGCTCATTATCTCGGTTGCGCTCTGGTAATTTAGCATAGCTATGGACAATCACAATATTTAGCTAAACCCTCTATATAAATGGCTTGTTTTCCCCAAAAGAGCATCTTAAATTTATTGGTAGTTTGATGATAAATATGATAAGTCTCAGTATAAATATTCCATAATCTTCCCATGATATCCCCCAAAAAAAAAGTCCCATGGATAAATCAAGAACTATAGCCCCAATTGGTTCATTAATCCCATGGCACCAAGGCGCACGGCAGCCAAGCGAACAGAGCCTGTCGCGTCCACCTGCGGATCATAACAAATTGGATTGGAAAAATGGGAGAATTGGAATCCAAGAATCTTGAAAAAGAAAAACATCTTGCAAATTTCGGAGGGAACATTCGTAAACGCCTGAAAATCCTGTCCAAATCTTTCGGAGGTTCGATTTTCCACGGCAATTCAGAAGTTCCTGGGTCGCTTTCTGCTCACCTTTCGAGGGGTGGAAGACATTTCGGTCATGGCCGTCATGGCCGTCATGGCAGACTGTAATAAAATGGGGCACCGATGGACCCACGAAGCTGTGTTTGTTGCATTTATATAACCAGTGTACTGGTTGGTTCATCGGGATTCCCATCATAGATCATAGTAATCATAGTCATCCCCAATCAAGAAGGCAGTTTGTAGGCATTGTAGGCACAAAAAAAGCTAGGAAAACCAGGATAACTATACCCTCTGGTAAACTAACATAGCTATGGAAAATCACCATGTTTAATGGGAAAATCCACTATGAATGGCCATGTTTAATAGCTACATTAAATTACCAGAGGGTAAATGAAGTGGATCAACTGGGTACTGCTCATCTCCTCCTATCCCCATGATATATCCCCATGATATCCTCAGCCGTTTCACTGGGACGTCGTCACCTCTAGCCAGCGACCAGTGCGGCGCAGCAAGCTCAGCAGGGTGTCTCGCCAAAGGCAGTGTGGTGGCAGATAGATGGAGCTTCCCTGGCAGATTTCTATGGATCGTTTTTCAGGGAAGATCTGCAGGAAACGCCATGGGTTTTTACCAAGAAATATGTGGTTTTTACCAATAAATATGTATCTGAGTGTATCTGAGTACTGAGCCTTTATTGATTTGCTTTCCTCTCAAAGAATTCAGTATAGGACGATAGGTATGGTATCGACTCGAAAGGACCATCACAATCCACCAATTTTGGACCTTGGCTTCAGGACACTCTATTAAAGTGCAAGATCTGTTCTTGACAGTGAATCCACAAAAAGGAAGTCAAAAACCCTCCTCAGTTTCGGTTTTGCGTCCCAGGCCTAAATTCATTTCACCTTAGGCCCAACGACTGTCACCACCAAAGCACCTCTACCAGCCACTCCAGCACCACATCTGCCACTTTTGATGGGCTGTCCACTTGCAGCCAATCGCCTTGTACGGCAGTTTTTGGGGGTGCCTTTCCACTGCATTTGCGTGGATTTCTGGCCCGAGCAAGCCCATTTGTACATGGCTATAAATCATAATTCTAGGGGAAAACAAACAACTTACCGGGGTGATATTTGCATGTTTTTTCCCAGCTGCCATACAGTAACCCCAATCGGTTGCCATGCTGGTATATTTTCCGCCCAAAATTCCAAAATTAAACCCAGCTAAGTTGTGAAATCTAAGTTAGAAACTTATAAATAAGTATCTGACCCAATGTAAGTTGGAAACAGCTTCCAACCCCTAAGTTGATTTTAAAAATAAACACTCGCAACTGCAACCGGCTCGGCTCGTGGATCATCCGATCGCCTGGTCCATCCTCGTTCTGCGGAAACAGCGGCAGAAGCAAGGCCTGAAGAAAACAACTGCTGATGGGATTACTTACTATATATATATATATGATATATGATATATGATATATTATACATTATATATTATATATTATATATTATATATTATATATTAAGGTATATTGTATAGTATATATCATATATATTATATATAATATTATATATATAGTATAGTATTAGTATTAGTAATAGTAATAGTAATAGTGATAGTGATAGTGGTAGTAATAGTAATAGTAATAGTAATGTATAGAGATATAGATATATAGATAGATAGATAGATAGCTAGCTAGCTAGATAGCTAGATAGCTAGATAGCTAGATAGCTAGATAGCTAGATGGATAGATGGATAGATGGATAGATGGATAGATGGATAGATCGATAGATAGATAGAATAGATAGAATAGATAGAATAGATAGAATAGATAGAATAGATAGAATAGCTAGAATAGATAGAATAGATAGAATAGATAGAACAGATAGGATAGATAGGATAGATAGGTAGATAGGATAGATAGATAGATAGAATAGGATAGAATAGGATAGAATAGGATAGAATAGGATAGAATAGGATAGAATAGGATAGAATAGGATAGAATAGGATAGAATAGGATAGAATAGGATAAATAGAAAGATAGATAGAAAGATAGATAGAAAGATAGATAGATAGAATAGATAGAATAGATAGAATAGATAGAATAGGATAGATAGATAGAATAGGATAGGATAGATAGATAGAATAGGATAGATAGATATAGGATAGATAGATAGAATAGGATAGATAGATAGAATAGGATAGGATAGGATAGAATAGAATAGAATAGCATAGCATAGAATAGAATAGAGTAGAGTAGAATAGAATAGAATAGATAGAATGATTGATAGATAGATAGATAGGTAGATAGGTAGATAGAGAGATCGATAGATTAAATAGCTAGATAGATAGATAGATTAAATAGATAGATAGATTAAATAGATAGATAGATTAAATAGATAGATTAAATAGACAGATAGATTAAATAGACAGATAGATTAAATAGATAGATAGATTAAATAGATAGATAGATTAAATAGATAGATAGATGAAATAGGTAGATAGATTAAATGGATAGATAGATTAAATAGATAGATAGATTAAATAGATAGATGGATTAAATAGATAGATAGATTAAATAGATAGATAGGTTAAATAGATAGATAGATTTATTAGATAGATAGATCAATTAGATAGATAGATTAATTAGATAGATAGATTAATTAGATAGATAGAATAATCAGATAGATAGATTAATTAGATAGATAGATTAATTAGATAGATAGATTAATTAGATAGATAGATTAATTAAATAGATAGATTAATTAGATAGATAGATTAATTAGATAGATAGATTAATTCGATAGATAGATTAATTAGATGGATAGATTAGATGGATAGATTAATTAGATGGATAGATTAATTAGAGAGATAGATTAATTAGAGAGATAGATTCATTAGAGAGATAGATTCATTAGAGAGATAGATTCATTAGAGAGATAGATTCATTAGAGAGATAGATTCATTAGATAGATAGATTAAATTAGATAGATAGATTAAATTAGATAGATAGATTAATTAGATAAATAGATTAATTAGATAGATAGATTAATTAGATAGATAGATTAATTAGATAGATAGATTAATTAGATAGATAGATTAGATAGATTAGATAGATAGATAGATAGATAAGATAGATAGATTAGATAGATTAGATTAGATAGATTTAGATAGATAGATAGATAGATAGTAGATAGATAGATAGATTAGATTATAGATTATAGATTAGATAGATTAGATAGATTTAGATTAGATAGATAGATAGATAGATTAGATTAGATAGATAGTTAGATAGATAGATAGATAGATAGATTAGATAGATAGATTAGATAGATAGATAGATAGATAGATTAGTAGATAGATAGATTAGATTAGATAGATAGATAGATAGATAGATTAGATAGATAGATTAGATTAGATTAGATTAGATTAGATTAGAGTAGATTAGATAGATAGATAGATAGATAGATAGATAGATTAGATAGATTAGAGTAGATTAGATAGATAGATAGATTAAGATAGATAGATAGATAGATAGCTAGATAGCTAGATATAGATAAGATAGATAAGATAGATAGATAGATTAGATAGATAGATAGATAGATAGATTAGATAGATCAGATATAGATTAGATATAGATTAGATATAGATTAGATATAGATAGATACTATAGATATAGATTAGATAGATTAGATAGATTAGATAGATTAGATAGATTAGATAGATTAGATAGATTAGATAGATTAGATAGATTAGATATAGATCAGATAGATAGATTTAGATTAGATAGATTAGATAGATAGATTAGATAGATAGATAGAAGATACAGATTAGATAGATTAGATAGATTAGATAGATTAGATAGATTAGATAGATTAGATAGATTAGATAGATTAGATAGATTAGATAGATTAGATAGATTGGATAGATTAGATGGATTAGATGGATTAGATAGATTAGATAGATTAGATAGATTAGATAGATTAGATAGATTAGATAGGTAGATAGATAGATGGATGGATGGATAGATAGATAGATAGATAATTAGATAGACAGACAGACAGACAGACAGATAGATAGATAGGTAGGTAGTTAGGTAGGTAGACAAATATATATATATATATTAATGTTTTATAAGTTATATGTATGTCTTGATTGTATCTTAATTACCCTCCGGTAATCAAGCGTGGCAATGGGTAATCCCGAAAAAATGCAGGTTTTAGCGGTAAAATCAGCTATAAGTACTAGATTTTCCATTGCCATGTTTGATTACCGAAGGGTACAGAGTGTATATCTTGATTATGATCATAAGATCATGATAGGATGAAAAACGTTATGAAGGTTTAAAGCTGATAAACCAACCAATCATTAACATAGAAACTAGGATTTTTATGGATTTTTTTATAAAAAAAAGAACAACAAATGGGCAACGAATGGGTATCTACTTAACGGATGGGCAGCCAAATCAGCTTCTTGCGTCAGGGCGATCCAATGGATTTCCTAATGACAAATTGTCACCGTTCACCACCATGGCCACGTTATATCACTCGATCCGTTTCCGACACCACTACCTATGATACTATATCACAGTCATAGTGGCAAAACCCATGCAATCCAAATCATGATTTCATAATACTATGCTACATGATGGTCATTTATGATTTTATATGACACCCAAATGGGTTTGTCCAAAACACAATGTACCTCATTCCTTCCAGTGGGGAATCATCATTGTACCTGTTGAAATTGCCATTAGTATGACCATAGAGTCCCAAATCATGTCAAAGTGTTTCAAGTTTGTTCATATGTCTCATGAATCAGTAAATGTCCCCATAGAATTGTTGGTCATCCCATGACATATCCCCATGAAATATCCCCATCTGCTACCCAAATCCCCATCTCATGACACCGTCCCTTCGCCTTCAGGGGCTCCAATTTCGGTACCCCCGGCTGTGCAAAGATGGCAACGATGCGGGCGTTGGCCTCGGGCCACTGTTTATCCCCAAGAGCTGGATGGTTGATGAAAAAACCCATCTATAAATGGATGATTTGGGGGCCCTATTTTAGGAAACCCCCAGATGTGACAAAATAACGACTCTTGTGGTGATGATATCGAAAGTGGTTCACCAACGGTCATGGGATTGGTGAAACATGGAAAATCACGATGATTTCAATACGGATCATTATAATATATAATTATCATTTTAATAGGAATGATGATTCTAGCAAAGATATGCACAATTAATCATGATGATAGCACTAATAGATTACTCATTGTAATGATGATAACAATAACATAGGGATGTTGTTGATGATGATGATGATGATGACGATGACGATGACCCGGTGATAGCAGCAATAAGAAGAACAACAAGAATAGCCACAATCCATCAAGTTAGAGATTGGAAAAGGGCAATTGTTGGTGCCATAGTTCCCTTGTTTTTCTTGCAAAGAATCACAAACACTGACTGCCTCAACAGCTTGTTTCTACAACTCTAAGACTTTTCATCAACGAACTCATGGCCATACTCCCAATCACAGCGGAGGCACCTCGCTGTTGTATTTCTTCATGCGGTCGGTAAACCAGAAACTCGGCCACCAGGGACATGGGAAAAAGCCAGACAAGGGGATCCAACACAGGCAGGACAAGACCCCATCCAAGGCTGGAAATCACTGTTGATTGTACACTCATCATAAACCTTCCATTGAGGATAGTTCATATTATACATTCTGGAAAAAAGGTTATGCTTGATTCTGGGGTTTGTCACGCTACTCAGAAGACCGAAGGGAATCATGAGTCCCTCGGCGGCGGAAAGGTCATTTGCAGGCCCACTTTGGAAAATGGCCACAGAACAACTGGGCCGATTGGGTATAATTTCGAGGTACTGCTAGCAGCTCCAAAGCAGTGCCATGCTTCAGAGGTCTATGCTTCGCAACTTTTCTGGGGGTTCCATATGTTCACCCAACAACTCTAAATCTCTCGTGGGCAACTCATCCCAACTCATCCCTCACGAGCCCACACAGTCCACTTGTCCAGCTGTAGTGGCTCCATGACAGGCCCCTTGTTCTGCACAAAGAAGAGACGATTTTGGAGGTCATGACCTGATGCCACTTTGGAACGGTCAAAAGCTGGCAGCAATGTGCATGGCCCATCTTGGATACCCAGCAAAATAATTGTGGGATGAGTTCTCTGTTTACCAGGTTTACCACTGTAGCATTCAAAACATTCACCTCTTCCCCTGGGGGCCCTCCCCTTCACCAAGATTTTCACAGTGATCCCCACCAAGTCCCCAAACTCAACCGCTCCAAAACTGGCTCTGTGATTCGCATCCACGAGAAGCGTTGCCGGAGGCTCTGCAAACACAGCGCCACGGCAACCAGAAACGCCTAAGGCTTGCAGAACACCACCGGTGGTCCCATGCCTTTCCCTTGGTGAAATGTTAGATCTATGAATTGAAGGCCCATTGAGGGAGAAACTTAAAATTGGGGGATGAGGTTAGTTCTTGATAGCCCACAAGATGAGACCATCGACAATGATGGGCCCCCTACTGATAAATGATCACAAATAGGGTGAATTACAGAAAAAGGGACCAAACTTTAAAGCTTCAAAGGACCTGCAGCAGACCCCGGTGTTGATAGAATCTTGTTCCTCGGTGGCAAAGAAACACAGCTTTTCCGCTTTGAGGCTCTCCTTCCTGGGGGTTTGCATAATCTCCTGAGGATCTTGAACATCACCAAAATGCATGGTGGAGATGCTGTCCCCTTTTTTTTGTTGGCGACGTTTCAATGGGACATTTCAACCATTCCCATAGGTGGCTCAGGGGGACATCTACCCAAACAACCTGATTTAGATGGAATAAAAACAGAAATCCCTCCAGATTTTCCCCCCTGGAATCCCATGGCTCATCCCATGACCCCATGGCCGCCATGGCCGCCATGGCCGCCATGGCCCAAGGTGCCTCCTTTTTTTGCGGTTGCCTCACCGCGGTGAAAAAGCGCAGCAAGGGATGCTCTGCCCGCGCCAGAGCGTCTGCCAAGGCCAAAGGTGTGGCAGGGAAACGCGGCGCTGAGACAAACCAGGAATTCAGCTCCTGGGTGGCAGAGGACATGGGCCACATGGGGTCCAAGAGCACTTCTTAGATTTCTCGCATGTGTTTTTCCATTTTTAGGGAACTCAAACTAACCTCACTTTTTGGGGAAATTTCCACACTTTGAGGGAGTTGAAGGTCATGTTTGTACACCAAATATACAGAATGAATCCTTTTAAGAGGCGTCTCTTGATCTGACCAGAGCGAAGGGAGAATCATGTGGATTGTGGGGATTGTGCAAGCAGCAGTAGCAACTTTCCAAGGCCCCCAATTTGGAGAAATGCATACACCTGGACATGCTATTCCCCATAGGCCCCATAGGTTTACCAGGTAGAGATGGTCCCACTTTGATCCTTGCCCATCTTCCAGGCCAACCCAGTATCACAGCTCCTCTGTACACTTCACCACCAAAGCTTCAATGCGTTCTGGCAGCAAGGGAGTGCCTGGTTCAGTGCGGTTGCATGGGATGAAAGGGGCAATGTATGATCCCACTATGAATGGGATTCCCCAATGGGTACCACCCCCATTCAACAGATTGTTGACCGCGGGCGCACCAGCCTAAAGGAGTCCCGGAAGCTGGCGTTTCAACGCCCAAACCATCCAGTAGTCTCTTCTGCAAAGCCTCACAGTCCATGGCTGTTTCTGATCAGCGATTCATTTCAATAGCTGATGTGTCCCCACTCAAAAAAAAACTCTTTGAAACTCCCAAACTTGTGGATACATCCATTGCAAAGGATTTGCAGCCCTGAAGTCTGAATAGTCTGAATTTCAACTCAGATGATACATTAACTCCATTGGCCAACCATCTGATCATCTGGGTTCGATCTCTCCACATCCCAGAACGCTCACAAGGGCTGCACGGATTCACCCCTTGGTCCCCTGCTGTGGTCCAAACTTGCAGAAACCATATGATTCTGCTAAATCAGGTCACCCGTGTTTTGTCATTGGATGTGGCAAGTTTTGGAGACTGATACCTGAATCTAATCCCCACTCTTTTGCTTCCGAAACAAAACCAAAGTCAATTGATTTGCCAATCTCTTGAAGCTTATCTCACTCCCTATGTATCTGAACAGTTTTATTTATGTCTATATCTAAGAATCTACATATGTATATCATACATATCTGCATATAATGACACATAATCTGAAAAAAATGCTAAATCCATCAGTCCATCAGTCCTCCCAAGGCGAGTCGTCCTGTCGTCTGCCTGGTCCAGGTGGGGCAAGACATGTTCCCCCAGGCCGTCCGCCAGGCTATCGCGCAGCTGCGCACGCATCACCGGTAGCAAGCGCTGGAAGGGCGCCGACAGACACTCCTTGAAGGGATGAAACGAGCCATGTTCATTGAACTCAGGAAACTTGGGGGATTTGATGATGATTTTTATGGTGTTTTATGGATTTGATGATGATTTTCGGCGGAAATGTTGGGGATTTATGGGACCAGTGAATCCCCAGATTTCATCCAATTTCAGAGGATTTCCAAGTCATTTGACCACTTTATAACCTGCCATTTATTGTATAAAGCTGTTTCATCAAGGATAGGTCAAAAAGGACCTCAGAGGAAACCAGAAACCATGGCATTTAACAGCCATATGTGGATTTCCGTTAAAGCCATTCTGCCACCCAAAAAAAATTGATCTGAAACCCGGAACAAAGTGTGAACAAATGGGTAAAAGGTGTCATGTACTTATTATGGCATGATTTATTTGGATTCGTGGTCAGCCAGGTCGTGGTAAGTTTGCAGACGATGGTAGTGTGCTCACTTTCGTCAGTGTGATGATCTGCAGCAAATGGTTTCTGGCATCTGGTGTGCAAAAGTCAGCTTAGAACCTCCATTTTGCGGGAAGAAAAGTGTTCAAAGGGTTTCCCTTTAGAAATTCTCAGACAAAGTGCCCATCATCATCATCATCATCATCATCACCATCATCATCATTTCCTAAAGAAATCTGAAAGGCTTTACCTGCAGGTAAAAAGAGGCCATCCTCTGCCACTTCAGACGCAGTGGTTGGCGAGCGCATGAGCCGGTCCAGGATGAAGTCCACCCAAGCACTCACCTTCTCCTGGCTTTGAAATCTGGATCCATCTGTACAAAAATTTATTGGTATTCATTGATATTTATTGATATTTATTAGATCTTTAGAGATATTTATAGATAATTATTAGATCTTTATAGATATTTATAGATACTGATAGATATAGATATATATATATATTTGTAGATAATCATTTAAAAAAATAATAGGTAATTATCATAAACAAATATTGTAGATATTTATAGATATTCATTAGAACTTTCTAGATATTTATAGATAATTATTATAGATAACTATAGAGCATTAAAGAAAATTATTATAGATATTTATGATATTTATTAGATATTTATAAGATATTTATCGATAATTATAGATATTTATAGAAATTTGTAAATATATCTATAAATACTTTTTGCAGATAATTATTATAGATATATATATATATTTATTGGATCTTCATAGATATCTATAGGTGTATATATATATTGAGATAATTTTGGATAATTTTAGATAATTATCACAGACAAATATTATAGATATTTATTAGATCTTTAAAAATATTTAAAGATATTTATATATACATATATACATGCATAATTACAGATAATTATAGATAATTATAGATATATATTATAGATAATTCTAGATAAATATTATCGATCATTATAGATAATTATTATAGATAATTTTAGATTAGTAATTTACATATTTACAGAGATTTACCGATATCTATAGATATAGATTTTTTTACACAATTATAGATAATGAAAGATAATTATTAAAGATAATTTTAGATTAGTAATTTACATATTTACAGAGATTTACAGATATTTATAGATATATATTATTTACATAATTAAAGATAATTATAGATAATTACAGATATTTTTAGATAATTATTTAAAAAAAAATATTCTAGATCATTATCATAGATACATATATACATATTTAAAGATATTTATTAGATCTTTATAGATATTTAAAGATATTTATATACATATATATATGTATACACATAATCACAGATAATTAAAGATGATTAGAGATAAATATTATAGATAATTCTAGATCATTAAAGATAATTATTATAAATATTTATACATATTTATAAGACATTTATTTGAGATTTATCGATATTTAAAGATATTTATAGAAATATAGATATATTTATAGATAATTAAAGATAATTTTAGATAATTATTATAGATAATTATTAGAAATAGATATTTTAGATATTTATAGATATTTATTAGATCTTTAAAGATATTGATAGATTTATAGGTATTTTGAGATATATATATATATAGAGAAATTAATAGATAATTAAAGCTGATCATAGATAATTACTATATATACTTATTTTAGATAAATATTATAGATAATTATTAGGCATAATTATTAGGGATAAATATTTTAGCTCTTTAATAGATCTTTTGAGATAAGACAAATAATTATAGATAATTATAGATAATTACAGATAATCATAGATAATTATAGAAAAAACTCGACAATTATAGAAAAAATATAGATAATTATAGATAACTATTTTAGATAATAATTATAGATATTCAGAGATAATTATAGATAATTATTGTAGGTAATTATTTTAGATAATCATTATAGATACTTATAGATATGTATGATGCAGCCTCCCAGGTCCCCCCCCCCAAAGGGTATGGGTATATAGGTATAGGGCTATGGGTATACAGGAGCTATGTTCCCCACCCCCCCTGTGGGTGGGTGGGGGTGTGGTTATATATATATATGTATATGTATTATATATATGTAAATATATATATATAATTATTAATATTATATATATATGTACTTAAATTTTAAATATGTATGTGTATACATATATATATATATATGTGTGTGTATGTGTGTGTATGTATGTTTGCATGTATGTATGTACGTACGTACGTACCTACGTACGTACGTACGTAGGTATGTATGTATGTATGTACGTACGTATATATATATATATGTGTATGTATATATATATATGTGTATGTATGTATGTATGTATGTATGTATGTATATATGTATGTATGTATCTATGTATCTATGTATCTATGTATCTATGTATCTATGTATCTATGTATCTATGTATCTATGTATCTATGTATCTATGTATCTATGTATCTATGTATCTATGTATATATGTATCTATGTATCTATGTATCTATGTATCTATGTATCTATGTATCTATGTATCTATGTATCTATGTATCTATATATCTATGTATCTATGTATCTATGTATCTATGTATCTATGTATCTATGTATCTATGTATCTATGTATCTATGTATCTATGTATCTTTGTATCTATGTATCTATGTATCTATGTATCTATGTATCTATGTATCTATGTATCTATGTATCTATGTATGTATGTATGTATGTATGTTTGTATGTTTGTGTATGTATGTGTATGTATGTATACATGTATACAATATATTATTGTGCGTTTTTAAATGCATATATATATATGTATGTATGTATGTATGTATGTATGTGTGTATATATATATATACATGAATATATTTATATGTGTGTATCTATATATATATATATATATATTTAAATATATATATACACATATATAATTATATATATATATATGAAGTAGATACATAATACATAGCACGTGTATATATAACTATAGGTAGCACGTAGGTACTTTGAGGGAGTATGTGTGCTACGTAGGTCGTTTAAAAGGTAGCATGTAGCTAGTAAATGCGAGGCTGCTAGTCAGAATCGCTGCAAGAACCTAGCAAATACGAGGCTGGACCTCAGAAATGCTGCCAATAGCTTGCAAATAGGAGGGAACGGGGTGCTACCTGGGGACCCATCCCATTGGGGGGGGGGCCTCGTGGGCGGAAGACGGGATCACGTATAGATATTTATAGATATCTATATCTATATCTATATATATTCATTGATATTCATATTTATAGATTATATATCTTGGACCATATCTCAGTAAATAGTATTTATATGTTTTTTTCCCCACCTGCCAGGTGAAGGTTGTTAGATTTTATGTCAGTTGCCTGCTCCTCCTCTCCTCCTCTCCTCCTCATCTCCTCCTCCTCCTCGTCGTCCTCCTCCTCGTCGTCCTCCTCCTCGTCGTCCTCCTCGTCGTCCTCCTCGTCCAACTGCGGCCCGCGATCCACAGTGTTCTCTGTCGGACCTCAACCACGACCATCCACGCCCAGTGTTCCCTGCCGGACCTCAACCACGACCATCCCCGCCCAGTGTTCCCTGCCGGACCTCAACCACGACCATCCACGCCCAGTGTTCCCTGCCGGACCTCAACCGCGAGTATCCCCGCCCAGTGTTCCCTGCCGGACCTCAACCACGACCATCCACGCCCAGTGTTCCCTGCCGGACCTCAACCGCGAGTATCCACGCCAAAAGATATGCCACATAGAGTGCCAGAAGATATGCCAGATAGAATGTTAGAAGATATGCCAGATAGAATGCCAGAAGGTATGCCAGATAGAATGCCAGATAGAATGTCAGCTAGAATGCCAGAAGATATGCCAGATAAAGTGCCAGAATGTTTGCCAAAATCTGCCAAAATCTGCCAAAATCTGCCACAACCTAAGTATCATACATGCAATGAACCACCACTTCTGGGTGCGACGCAACTCGTGAAAATTTGGATCAGGCAGTTCCAAGTGAAAGAGACCCAAAGGACAACGACAGAACAAGCAAAACTATGGAACCGATCCAACGAAATCCTGTAAATGTCAGGTTTCACAGGAGGAAAAAATGCCGGGAGCAGCATTCCTGTGCCCTGGCGAATTTCGCAGTGGCAGTGTGCCACGCCGATAAAATAACCTGCAAACACCTCGCTGGAGGGCCGGAGTGTTGGTGTCAGCTATCTCCTGGAAGAACCCCCGGCTCAAGATGAAGAGTCGCCCAGCTCGGCTCTCCGGCGCAGCACTGCTCGCGCTCTGTGGCTACGGATGACAACGGACAGTTCCTGCAAGAGGTCTGAATGCAGTGTAGCCGCGTCATCCCCAGTTCGAGCTGCTGTGCTCCGGGAAAGTTGCAGGAGCAGTTTGCTGGCTTCGGGTTCCCATGCGCCCGTTGACTCGGCCACGACCGGCATGAAGTGGACGCCCTGCTGCGCGCAAAGTGCGGCAGTGTTCAGGTGAGATGCCTTAGTTGCAGCATAGCTGGTGGCCGCTGCCAAGGAAGATAGAATGCCAGCAGATTTGCCAGATAATATGCCAGAAGATATGCTAGATAGAATGCCAGATAAAAAATGTCAGATAGAATGCCACAAGATATGCCAGATAGAATCCCAGAAGATTTGCCAGATAATATGCCAGAAGATATGCCAGATAGAATGCCAGAAGATATGCCAGGTAGAATGCCAGAAGATATGCCAGATAGAATGCCAGATCGAATGCCAGAAAATATGTCAGATAGAATGCCAGAAGATTTGCCAGTAACAAAATGTATAAATGTCATGGTGGGGATCACACGAAGTAAAGTAATTTGCTATCCAAGCAGTATTTGATATCACAAGGTCCACGATTTAGATAGTTCGATTGATCCATCGCAAGCAGCACCTACAAGCACAGCGAAATCTCCTGCGTGATTTTGGAGTCCTTGCCATGCTGCAGCAATGCACACAGACCTTGGAGACCAGGATGAGCGATACAAACTCTGCTCGGCAACAGAAGTCTCACTGTCATGTTTGGGCCTATGTCCATGATTTATATCATCACATGAATATCTATTTTTTGATAATGTGTATGAATTGTGTATACTGTGTACTGTATATCCTGCATGTGCATGATTTTGTATCAAAATGTTCGTAATGGTCGGACATATCAGACCCAGTTCCGAGCCATCTTGGCCGATCTTGACAAGCAACTACCCAGTGGAAACTGCTGTGTCTTCGGTTCAAACTTGTGGAGGTTTTTCTCAATGATGTGAAGAAAGTCACCCTGGGCAGCGCAAAATGTCTGCAAAACTAAGCATAAATTGCCGATGATACCCAGCCACGACCAGAAAGGAAGATGACTGAGACAACCTTGGTTAAACCAAAAACAAGGTTTACGTCTACTGGCAACAAAGCAGGCCTTCTTCTGCTCATCAACCAGCGCCAAAGTCTTCTGGAAAGGTGCAGAAAAAAACTCCTCCAGCTGCCCAAGCTATCCACAAATGTTGGCAACTCCCAAAATCAAACCACCAAAATCCCTGTATTTTTCGCGGGGGAACCTACCCCCATCACGCTTGCCACGTTCTGCCATCGCCAGTCCCGAAAGAGCTGCCGATGCGTGTTGGTGGTGCCTTGTCCTCGGGCCCCAGGGGACCTCTGATGCATCAGTGCCTTCAAAATGCAAAAGGAAATAGGCCATGGATGTTAAAAATGGGTCATTTTTATTAAGTTTATTAATGCTGATTATGTGATTATGTATTGATTAGTATTGTTGTTGTTATCATTATTTTTATTTTTATTATTGTTGTTTATTAATCCTTTTGTTTTTTTCGTATTTTTACTTTTCTTAACCATGTGGATCCAAAATCCAGTTCCCGCAGGGGTCGAAAACAAAATGCCATGAAATCAATTGGAAAAAAAATTGTATGTTTGGGAGTGGCTACACTGCTACACACTGAAACAGATATGATTCAGGAACAAGTACCCATTGAAACAGAGCAGGAAAAAAAACAGGTTGCGGTCTTGTCCATCTTGCGATTCACGATGGATCTGGATCAGTCACCAAGGTCTGTCTTGACTTGAGTCATACCATGTAATTTGTCTGGTGATTGTAGTGAAGGCACGACCAAAAAACATATTTGAATTAACATTGACTTTGGTGCTCCAGCTGCCACTTCAATGATGGCAACCCCAGGTTTGCTTTCAACACTGGTTCCACCAAGCATCGTTCAGCCACCCAAGACCATTCGGCCAAAGACTCCAGTTTGTTCGATAGCGATTTTAGCCACGAAGATGCAAAATGGTGGTCCATGGCATCACGGCTGGGAAAAAGTGTTTGCAGTGCCTCTCGTTAAAGGCATCTCAGGGAAGGTCGTTCAATCTGAATAGTGCATGAACCCAGGTGTGAACGTCATGATCTCATACAAACTCGGCGGCGTTGGGATGTTTTTGGTTGTTTTAAGTTGCAAGATATCGGTTGTGTTTTTAAAAGAAAAAATCAACACAGTTGGCATCATGCGAATGATGGTTCAGACCCTCAAGGTTTCGTTTGAAAAACATGTTTCATTTGCAACAAACTTGCTCTTTGGTGCTGGTTGTGGTCACCTACTCGCTCATTCAGCCTCAACATTTGCAAGTGTTTTATATGTGTTTTTAAACACCAGCAAAAAATAAATCATGAACCGTGACTTTGCGAAACTACGGAGAAAAAACGGCAGAAATGCACTCAGTGCAAACATGTATGTCATATTTTTCACCATGCACAAACGAAGTTTGCGGACGATGTGCATGGTGGTCCAATCGTCAAGATCCAGCAAAATTTTGACTCAGAACAAAGGAGATCTGTTCGAGGTCACCAGTCTCAGAAGCAGAAAATGTGGCACAGCAAGTATCAGGGATTGACGCGTTTGATGGTTTCCAAGCTTTCTGGGGTGTCTATCTCGCAAATTATTTGTATATATGCAAGCGGGCATGCGTTTTTCCTGAGCCGCAAGGCCTCACAATTCACACATGGGTATTTCATGTATGCAAGGTGAAAATGCTAGTGCAATCATCTCGATTTGTGTGTGTCATCCTTGCAGTGAGTCTGTATGAAAATCCTAGGCACTCCTCCTTTGGGAGTGGAGCGCCGCTCGACTTCCAATTTTCCTGACTTTTCATTGCGTTTTCCTCCAGCCATTGTTGCTAGAGGCTCACAAATCTTCCAGTCCAGAAAAGTGATTTCATCCATCACCATACACGTTTGAAATTGCAGTATAACGATCTGCACTGACCCATCTCTGTTGGTCTACTGCTCGGTCTGCCAAGTCTGAGAAAACTTCTACGATTCGAGCTCTGCAGCGTCCATACATGGAATTGGTGGGGACTTGATTCTGAATCCCCTCCAAAAGCTCCAAAATGAGATCTGCTGATTGTTCGCGTCCCAGTACTCTTGGCGGTCGATGCACTCTTGATGTTCTGCCTTGATGAAATTCAACATTTCTTCCAACGATTGTTCTCTGTCACCCAACCTTGAAGTGGTTGCTGGTTCCACTTCCATGTCTCCTCCATCTTCAGTTGGATCGTCTGTTTGGTCTGCTGTTTCAGCTGGTACCATCCTTTGTCGAACCAGGCGCATGAACTCCACTGAACCCACTGTCCTTGAGCTTATCATGTTGGCGCGCTCAAGGGTCGTCAAGTGAATCCACTGATCGTGGCTTAACCCTAACCCATTGCGTAGGAAGCCACCATGTTCGACCAGTGAATAGTGCAGGCCCGTCATGTAGTCATGTGTCATTGAAAGCTCGTTTGAAGTCTCTGTGATTTGATCAGTCAAAATGGCTGTCTGTTGGCCCAATTGGTTTCCAAAGCTTCGCAACGCTTCTCCAATTTGTCAATGCGTTCTGCTTGCTGGGCTATGTATTCGTCCTCATCTGCTACCTGAGCCCAAGCATGTGGCAAATCATTGGTGATCCTCTTCAGCATGTAGTAACCTTTGAATGTCACCACCGCAAACGTTGCAAGCATGAGTCCAAGTGCCAGCCAAATCCAAAATCTGCTGTAAGAGACTTCTGGGCCCGTGCAAACTTGATCCTCAGGGATCATTGCGCCTTCAGCCACCATTGACTCAAGGCCCTGCAATCCCATCACCAAAACAAGCCTTTTGATGAACTTTCCCATCTTTGACATGGCTTCACGGTGATGCATCTGTTCAACCATAGTTGCATGCTCCTCCTGGCTGATTTGTTCCAGTGTCTCCGGGTCTAAGGCGCCCACCTCAAACATCAGCGCATAGAGTCTGCTCTTTGTGAGCACCTTCGTTCCCACATCACTCAGGTTCAAGACTGTAGGAACCTGCCCCACAATCACATTTCCAGAAAGGACCTCCTGTTGAATCCATAGGATCTTTGATGACAGATGGCGTATGCGTCCAACGCCCTGTCTGGCTGCCAACTGTCTTGCAGCACTATTGTCCGTCCACTGTGAGCTGAGAAAACAAACTCTGCACATCTTTTGGTGAAAAGGCCATCGCAGCATCCACTGACCATTGCATGAAGTTCACTTTCTGCTGAGGAAAGGCTGATGACTTTTTGAGTCCTTGAAGAGCCATGGACGTAGCATCCATTGAGGAAATGCAAAGCGCAGCTGGTAGATTTCCTGTGAGCCTTGTTGGAACTCCAATCTGCGTCTGTATACGTTTCCAAGAGCCACTCCAGTTCACAGCCCTCCTTTCTCTTGCCCTTTCCTGGTTCTGGAAAACTCAGCTTGAGGCCAATGTTGCCGCTAAACTTCAAATACCCCATCAAACGTTTCAAACGTTGCAGCGCACAAAGTGTTGGTTTGGACATTGCTGC